TAAATAAGATAAAAGGTTAATATTACGTATAATAGAGGTAAACCTTTTTATTTTAAACTTAGAATTAATTTATTTAATAGAGGGGTAAATATTATAATATACTATTAAGCGATAGTTTAAATATATTAATATTATATATTATAAAGCTTTATAATAATTAAAACTTATTAAAGAATTAATTATATAATATTTATAACTTTATTTAGAATATATTAAATAGTTAGCTTTATAGTATAAGCGTTTATAGTTCTTTAATAAGTATTCTATTAAACGTAAAGCTAATAAAAGAGTAAAGTAAGTATTTATTCTATATAGTTAGTTTATAAGTCCTTATAACTTTATTAATTTTAACCTAAAATAAGTAATAATAGGCTTTATTAGAAATATATTAATAAGCGCTAGAAGCTAATATAGTACTTAAAGATATTCTAGGCTTATTTTAGCTAAGGAATCTATTCTAACCTTATACCTCTTTATAGTAACCCTAAAGCTCGTCGAGGAAGTATTACGAGCTATATTTATCTTAACTTATTATAAGAATATCTCCTAAATATTATAGATTACGACTCTATCTTTATATAAGATAACTCTTCTATCTATATAATAGGAATTATATAAAAATAGCTTTAAGGAGAAGGGTATTAGGTCCTAGAATAGCCTCTATATAGCCCTAACCTTAACCTTATAGAAAACTTATAGTCTCTATTTAAAGAAGGGATCCTAAAGAAGGATCCGTTATTAGAGACTATTAGTTTAAATATAGAGTTAATAGAGCGCCTTATATATACCGTAATAGAGGTATAGCTCGATTTTAACGATAAGCTATTAAATAGGCTAATTACGACGATGCGTAACCGTTTCTAGGCCTATATCGATATACGGGGGTAATATAAGAAATATTAATATATCTATATATTCCTTAATAAATTCTCTTTTATTTAATCTATATATCTATATAATTAACCTATATTTACGATTATTATAGAAGGTTAAAGTTAGATAGTGATATTTTAGCTATATTGTAAAATCACCTAAAGTAGGTCCTGTTCGTTACTTTTGTCGCATGACTGTACCTAACGTACCTTGGTACCTAGGTAGGTACTGACCTACCATATCCAGGTAGGTACCGACGCTCCAGTACCTGGGAGCCAAGTGATCGCATCGCCAATCTCGAGCCCCTCCTCACAACCACCCACATCCTCCCACCCTAAGACCCCGAACGGCCGAGGTGCCAGCATTCGAGGGCGGGGTTTCGATGCGATGGAGTAACAAATTTGCATCCGAACCATGGCACGCCTGCGCGGAATTTGGCTGACATGACTCTACGCCTTGACAAAGCCAGATCCCTTCAGCGCGCGGCAGCTAACTCGGCCAGCTTGGTTCTTAACTCCAGCTTGTCGTTATCACCGACACAGATCGCGACTTGTGCCCGGGAACGGCACCCAAGAACTGTGGGTTTGTGGATTCCACTTGCGGGGACCACCACATTCGCAGACACTGAATTCCCCTCGATATGACGCGATGGCGGCCAGGTCGGCACGACTAGTGACACTGGGACACAGGACCCTGACCCAGTTGTATCCGAACCTGGCCCAGGGAACCGGAAATATTTAGTAGAAAGGCGTCGACAAGTCCGCCGCCTAGTGTAATCTCCTTGTCCCCCCAACTCTTGCGCTTCTTCATTGCTCGCCTTGACGACGACCACGCAAACAGCACTACCACCACAGACACACGCTCACAATGGCTTCCTATCCCCCTGGACAGTGCTGCGCCGCCACCGGCTTCAAGCACGAGTGAGTAGCCTGTCCCCGCCCTTCTCGCCCTTCTCACCCAAGGCCGCAACATGCTGACCTGACCGGATATCAGGGGCACACCTACTGGCGAAGACATCAAGATCAACGCCGGAAAGATCGCAGCCTATGTGGCCAAGCCCGCCGCTGACAAGAACAACGCAGGCGCTGGCATTATCTTGATTCCCGACATCTTTGCCATCTCCAACAATAGCAAGCTCCTCGCAGACCAGTTCGCAGGCGCCGGCTACACCACCTTGATTCCTGACATCTTCAACGGCGACGAGGTCTTTGAGTGGGGCAAGTATGATATCATGAAGTACATTACCGAGGGCGCCGACGGCAACAACCCCCATACGCCCGAGTATGTAGACGCTATCGTCGTCGCCGGCATCAAGGCCCTGAAGGAAGACTTTGGCATCACCAAGATTGGCGGCGTGGGATACTGCTTCGGTGGCAAGGTATGTCAACATCGCGACCCGATTCAGGACTAGGCTGACCATACAGTACGTCGTTCGTCACTACAACAGCGGCATCAACGTTGGCTACACGGCCCACCCCAGCTTCATCGAGGAGAAGGAGCTCGCTGCCATCACTGGGCCTCTTGCCATCTCGGCTGCTGAGACGGACGCCATCTTTCCTGCCGAGAAGCGCCACCAGAGCGAGGTGATTCTGAAGGAGACTGGTCAGCCCTACCAAATCAACCTCTTCTCCGGCGTTGAGCATGGGTTTGCCACCCGCGGCGACATGAGCATCAAGCACCTGCGGTTTGCTAAAGAGCAGGCCTTCCAGCAGGCCGCCGCCTGGTTTGACTACTTCCTCTTGTGAAATGGAGAGAACGCGGCGCATGATGTGACGACGAAGGCGGAACTTGCGACATGTAGGCGCCCGTCAAGAATATGAAAATTTATACCCCGTTACCCTGCGCAGCATTTGCTACAGTGACTTGGTGATTCGGTGGTGGGCATGTCTACATGTCCCTAGGACCGCTCGCTCTTGACAAAGTCAGCACACCTCTCAGCAACCATGTATGTAGCGGCTACGGTGTGCGCACTCGGCAGCCTCGGGAAGACGCTCGCATCGGCGACGCGCAGGTTTCGGAAACCGTGCACCTTGAGGTCCTGTCCAACGACACCACCTTCCTCCTCCTTTGCCATTCGGCACGTCGATGTCGCATGAAGTGTGCTTCTGATTCTTTCCTTGACGAACTTATCAATTTCAGTATCGGTTGCGTCGCGCCAGCTGCCCTGCGTGGTGCCCGCTCGGACACCAGGCGCGCGGTGCCACACTGCTTCGAAGGGATATCCCGTGGTGCGGAAGCGCTCGATGAAGTGCATTGCGAAACGGGTCGCCTTGCGGGCCACGGCCCAGTCGCGGTCGTCAGTGACAAAAGGGTGATACATTTTGGGGTTGGTGAGCGGGTCATCCGACGCAAGCTCGATGTGGCCACTTGAGAAAGGCTGTAAGAGGGTGGCATAGAGGCTGTAGTAGCCCTTCTGCTTGTCGTAGTCCTCATCCATCGAGTGGCCGCAGAGGATGTACTCAATGTCTGGTATGTTCTCCTGTCGATGTGCGTCCAGCGTGCTGTTCTTTTGGGTATCAAAATGCTTGACTTCCATCGTTTCGTCATCAATGGCTCCCGAACGAATGAATATGCAGTACTGCGTCGTGATCGAGGCGAAGTAGCCTGTCTTGAAAATGACAAACACGAGGAAGGACCAAATGGCGACGAGTGGCCTCAATAGATAGATCCACGAGTCTGAGGGCAACACCTCGAAAGCGACACCAAAGGAAATATGGTCCTTCAAATTTGCGCCGACACCCGGCATGTCGCGAATAACAGGTATGTTATGCTTCGCGAGCTGCGGCTTGGGTCCGATTCCGCTGCTCAAATTAGTACGATGAAGCACGATGCGCATCAGACACTTTCTGGCAGGGTGCGTACCTCAGCATAAGCACTTGTGGCGAGAAGAGCGCACCACAGCATACAATGACCTCGCGCCTCGCCTTGACAAAGCATCGTCGAGGGCGTCTCCTTGACTCACCATCGACGACGTAGACACCAGTTACCTCACTTCCGTCCGGATTCACCTCTAGTCTAGTGGCCACGGCACCGCCGCAGATTGTTAGGTGGCCTTGCCTTTTGATGGCGATCGCTTTGGGGAGGTAGGCCAGCTGCGAAGAGAGTCGGCGTGCTTGCTCGTCAATCATGATATCCACGTCGAACAATCCAACAGCTGGTCCACCAGGATCGTTCAAATCACCACCTACTGGTACCCCAACATCGTTGGCAGTCTTGGTCAAGCTATGACAGTCAGCAATGTAGTTGTTTTGTTTTCGCCGCATCGACGTACTAGTCATCAACAGTAAACAATGACTTTTGATGTCGAACCAACAGTGGTCCTGGTCAAGTGGTCAGCACAGGCTCCCCTGGGCATGTTGTTAGTTTGTGCTAGACCAAATTACCATGTTGACCGCGCCCTGGTGCATCACGATGGGTCAGAGATGCATTTTCCATCTTGCGGAAGTATGGCTCGCACTCCTTGAATGACCACTTGTCATTGCCACATGCTGCCCAGGAGTCATACGAGCCCGGTGTGCCCTTGGTGAGCATAAGCCCATTGATACGCGAGGCGCCACCGAGGGCACGAGACGTATAAGTGTGAACCTGCGCGCCGTCCCAACGTTCATCGGGCTCCGAGTACAGTACGCTGACCTGCGGACCGTCCTTTTGCAGCCCTTGGCTTAGCAGCGGTATGCTTGACAGCCAGTCGTCCTTGATCTTTCCGCGAGAGAGGACGAGAACAGTCACGGATGGGTCTTCACTGAGCCGAGCCGCAAGGACGCAGGCAGCGGTTCCACCTGCAGAAGAACATCAGTAATATGCCTAGACCAGAAGTGTAAACAATGGAAAATACCGCCGACGACAATGTAGTCGAACGTCTTGCCATCAACATCTGCCACAGTCTTCTCAGGATATGTGGGCGAAAAAGGCCACACCATCTTGATGCCGTCGGGTATATGCTGATGCACTCGGAATGCACATGAAAGCGTAGAACGGTGTTCATTTGAGAATGGGTGAATGACATTTATGTTCTCTGGTTTCATCCATTTGAGACGAGAGAGGCCGGTCTATCCGAAAGTTAGAATCTAATGATACCTTGGATGGTGTTCGTTCCTAATGGCATCAACAGCCAATCACACCGATCAATGAGCGGAATCAAAACATGCAACCGTGCATACAACATCATCAAGGTCCTTGATATCATCTAACTTGACAAGTGAGTGACCGTCAAGGGGGTTGCTCGAAGAATCCGACGCCCACAAGTGGCCAAGCACTTCGTGGGCGGGAGGCTCAGCATAATAACGGGGAGAGCCGTTGGCGGGAAGCAAGCCCCCGCGCGCCGCGGTTTCCCCGTTCCCGTCCATCCTCTTCACCCAATCCTTGCTGGGTCCAGATCCTTCCGACTAGGATGCAACTGGTCAAAGTTGCGTCTCCCACCACCCCAAGTTCAGTTAGGCTGTCGACTGTTGCCAAGCTCCATCCCCCAGACATCATGTATTTTTTCCACATTCAATTTATCAATGCCAAGCAACACGCCTTCTGCCTGAGATGACGACGACAAGAAGATGGCCATGTCGCTTACCTAGATCGCGCGGCATGACCTACCCTAGGATGCCCAGAATGACAGTCACGAGCGGCTGAAGTATGCCTAAGCACCATCCAGAACCAGCCCTATTCGACAGGCGGGCCTCAACCCAATGGCGGATCCATGCACGACCAGGGGACTGGCCCCCCTTCCCCTCAGACGGAGCGGCTGTGCTAGCTGACCATGCTGGTTGTGCTGTGCTGCAGCTCGAATCCCAACCACCCGTCCGCGCACGCTCTGAGCCGCCCCTGGATGCTCCAGCCGCAGCCTCGTTGCCCTTGAGCCGTCTGGGCCCCAGAGCGACTGGCCGCGTGGGCAACAAGTACTCTTTCGGAGCCGCTGCCACCATCGCAGAGAGCTCTTCGACCTTTTGTGATTTCGTCACACGAGATTCCGGACCGGAGGCGGACAACTGGCTGCCTCTGACGACCACCAAGTACGCTTCCAAAATATATATACGCGCTTGCCTACAATCCTGTGTACCTCGAGCCTCGAATCCAGGCACCCGCCGTACCTTCCCCCGACCTTGACGCCCGACGACCTCACACGAAAGCCGGCCCTCAACCTCTACAACCTGACTTCTTGTACCGTCTGGCGACAGAAACAGCACGATGGGAGACAGCAACAGTGAGCTGTACGTGGCGATTGCTGCTCTGCTCATATCTCTAGTAGCCCTGGCTGCTTCGGTTCTGCAAGTCGCCCAGCAGTACTTCGCCTCTGCCACCGGCTACGCCAGCTGCGACGAGAAGGTCATAGGCAAATGGTCAAGCTCTACAATACGAATTCTAAAGCCATACGAGTTTCGCTTCGAGGTCCAGTATCAGGCTCCGGTCATCTTCCTCTGTCGCCTCGACAACAAGAACGGCCCCGTGCCGGACGTCAAAATTATTCCTCTCGTGGGAAGCGACGAAAGCCGTCGAGAGAGTTGCAGTGACATTCAGGAGGACGGTCGCAACACACAAAAGTCCAGCCAAGTACAAAAGGAAAAGTCCAATCGAGTGAAGCAGAAAGAAGCCATACATACCGCAGACAATGAATTGGCTTCCTGGGTTACCTTGCTGGCAGCCTTCCAGCGAATGGAGCATGATTCGAGAGACTGGCAACAGAAGCTCCTCGAGAAGCCACTCCGTCCTCCAACAGGCGATCCGCACAATGCACTGTTGAAGCCCGAGGAGGTTGAGGAAGTGGAAAAGAAACACACGTTGGTCGTTGCCTTGCAGAAGAAGACAAAGAGCTGGGATACGATGCCGGCAGGCGTCAAGAAGCCGTATGCAACCACAACTTGGTGTCATATGGTGGAGATGGCTGCGCTGCTCGGGATATACTGGAGCGAATTCGACCGATCACATGACCGCTACCGAGCTGAAGGCAACGGTTACATGTTGACGGGTGAAAAAATGACCGACCTTGGTATCATGTTCACCTTTCAAGTCTATGGGAAGAGCGAATTCAAAGCCAACCGCATCATCCCGGTTGAGGAGGTGAAGGACCTGTGCTTCGGGGTCGTGCCAACGATATTTCGACGACCCGAGGCGGTTGATATGCGACGTCTCACAGATGACCGCCAGGATCTCAGCATGCTCAACTTGTCCACCCGGATTGAGATTTCAGAGACACTGGGCCTTATTGGTTGCAACACCAACACTGTCAACTACTTTGCTCGTGAAGACACGCAGAACAAGCGTGTTGCTCACCTCTTTCCTAGTAAGCAGTTCTCCATCACCGTGTTGCCGACAAGGCACCCTAACCTCATCGCAGTCGCGTTTGAAATCATCGGCATGCTAGGTCGGACTCTTCACATCGATCACAGTGTCTTCCGATGCCTCCCGAACCCTACGATGTATTTTTGGAACACCAAGACATTCTCGCTGCCAAAGCTGCTTGATGCTTACCTCAAAGAATCCAACAAGCGCGGCGTTCTGGATAACCAGGACTCAAGGGTTATGCAGGCTATCCGGCGGCATGGCAGAAGAGTGCAACTGCAAATGAGAAATGCTGGCTCCAACGGGCGATCGAGCTTCATATTGCTCGACACTCTCCATCACGCCCTCGACGTCATGGATGAAGTATTGACTGGCAAGGCCAAAGAACAACGACCCCCGCTGCCGCGACAGGGCACCACGTACTCCAACCAGAACCCGGCGCTGTCTGTCAAGAAGAAGCCAGACGAGCAGAGGCCAACCAACGCTACAGAAGACCAGAATGAGACGACGCGTCGGCAAAAGGTGACGGACGTGCTGCGCAGCCACATTCAAGAAGTTATGTATGGTCTCAACGAGAAGGTCAACGAAAAGGATGCCGAGGCGCAAAGCCCCATTCAGTTCGACAGCAACACCGCACGATTTGAGGATATTGATTCCGCGGCTCCCGAGGACAAACAGGCCAAGCTCATGGAGGTTTATTTCCAAGCAATCCGTAACAAGGTCATCGGCACGGCTTTGCGTTCAACGAAACGGCGCGAATCTCTAACCCCGATGCTGCCGCTGGCCACGCCAAGCAGCCAAAAGCGAACCGCGGGACAAACGATTGTGGAAGCCTCTGAAGACGGTGACGAAGAAGACGGAGAGGACGAGGATGAAGATGATGATGTGGCAGAGGAGGATGAACTCTGGAAGCTGCCCACGGACGACGTCTCACATGAAGACATATGGTGCACGCTCGTGTTCCGGATGATCTGTTGGCTGATGCTTCATGACTTCAACAAGAACGACAAACAAATCTCGAAGAGCGAGCTACGGGGAAGCCGACTGCCCATCTACATTGCGTGAGGCTTTGATGTCGGACGCTATGAACGAGGGAGATGGCTCGCAGGAAAGAAGGTTTATGAATGATGACATGCAGCGAAGCATTTGCTAGACTATCTTGACCAAGTACCAAATGATCACTTGTTTCCGCGCGCATATTCTCAGAGCGTCACGTCTATACGTGGGTACTACAATAACCGCTCGCGGCCAGCCCGATGCCTTTGACAGTCCCAACAAAGTTCCCCGCTACCTATGGCTAAGGTACTGACTGGTATCGGCCCCGGCTTTGGGATTGGGATCACACAGATCAGCGTCGGGCTGACCGTATCTGTGGCGGGTACTGTGGCTGAGTGGAGACTTCTCAGGGTAGGTACACAGGTACCTCACCCGAGGTTCTCGGCGGCGGCGCTCAGTAGTGAGAAGCGTCTCGCCGTGGACGGACAATTTACTGGATGCTCTACGAAGCGCGGAGGGTTCAGCGTGGGACCCGGGTCGCACCAGGCAAACGCTTTCTCGGACGTTCCAGCACGAGGCGGCGACGACGGCGGTGCAACCAGACCACCAAGCGTCGGCGAGTCTCCAGAGGCGTTTCCGAGAGTGCCGGAGGGCGGCCCCCGGTCCGAGTCTCTTCCAGGGGCGCTGCTTACCACCGGATGCCTCAGAAGCACTACACGGCGCGAGAGGCAACAGGTGAACACCAGCATGTCTAGTTAGGGTTTGGGCAGGTGAGCAGAATACGCAGCCAGACATTTCGTCAGCAGGCACGTAGGGCTCGGAGCGTACGGCTGAGGTTGTCATCTTGATGTAAGCGAAATCCAGGAGGCAGAGGAATGTGAATGACGCACAGCTGCCTCACCCCGAGGCAGAGGCGCCAGTGGATTCATCAGCACATTGCCCCCCCCCCCCCCCCCCCCCAAACCTGCCTGGAAGGCATTGGCACGACGCTGCCGATGCCGAACCGCCCCCTGATGTGACCTTAATGCCCTCGAGTCGAGACGCTGGTGGGAATCAAGGAACGCGAGTAGCCTCATGCGCTGGTCTGTGCGGGGTCAGCCACTGTTAGCGAGAAAGTACCACAGGCGGGAGGATCGTGGGGTGAGTGACATTGGCCCCTAAGGCCACGAGCCTGACTCGTCTGAGAAGAACCCCTCGGCTGCCAAAGGAAGAAAAAACACTCGCCTGTGAGGTATCTAGGCGGCAGGCATGGCAGGCCCAAGGAGGGAGGCGACCAAGGCAGGAGAGACTAGGAGAAGAAGGGGTGAGTGAGGGGGCCGAGGGGCGCAGAACGACAGTGCGTGCACAGTGTCGAGCTGGGGGCAAAGGGCTCAAGACAAGCGGAGAAGCCTAGCCTCCTTGCCTCCTTGTCTCCTTGTCTCCTGGGAGGCCCCTAGCTTCCTCGCCTCCGGCGCCTGGCTGTCCCCGACCGCTCGCTGTCTCACTGCGTATCGCTCTTGCCGCCTCCTTCAGGCTTACATGGCACTGGTCACTGGCCACTGACCACTAACAATCGACTGACTAACGAGAAAAGAGGGTCCGGTTTTTTGGGATGCAGGTGCAGTGCACGAGGTATGGCAAGGCCGGGCTGTAGGGGCGGGCAAGTGCACTGGCGGATGGATCCTGGTTTCGCAAGGCAGGAAAGCCCAGTAGAACCACCGCCAGCCAGAGAGACACATTCCTCCTCCTTGACCTGCTACTCCTCCTCCCACCATCACCGTTCGCCGGCTACCTCGAACACCGTAAGCAGCCGGACTCTACACATTCTCCTCCACCCCTCCTCCTTCTCCTCCTCCATTCACTGCCGACACTGTTCGACCCCTCTCGAACCCTCCCCCGACTTGGTCGAGCGACCACTGCGATCCGACCTGCCTTACATCCTCCCAGACGGCGAATGCTACTGGAGGGAACAAGGGACAAGTCACAGCACGACAAGGAGGCCGAACCCCCCGCCCTTTTACTCCGCCGCACACTTGACCATGGTCTGGCCTTGACAACAACGCATCTCTTCTTGAACTCGATCTTTGCGAAGCATCACGTTTCCATCCAAGTCTTTCAGCCTTCGTTTGTCACTTGAGCACGCCTGCGCCAAGCCTCCATCACTATCACTGCTTGTCATCCCTGACGAATTGTCGCTACAGGCGGAACACCGCTTGGGTCAAACCCAGCCCTTCTCAACCGCCACCAGTTTCTTCTCCCACGCGTTGTCGACTCCCCCGATACCGCCCACAAACTATCCCGCCTTGATCCATACCACAACTTTTTTTTCTCTTACCTACCTTACTCGGACGCGGGTCTTTTCGACCCTGCCGTCGTCATGACACCGTCGCCAGGTCCCCCCACCGCACCCGTCGAAGCCAGGCGACCGGCCTCCAGCCAGACTGTCTCCGTCACCTTTGACGAGGACAACAAGGCCGTCCTGGGCCCTGACACATCCCACCTGCACTTTGAGGTCTCCGAATGCATTGAAACCAAGACTGTCACGACGACCACGACAACTAAGAGAACGTACCCGCCTGTCCATGTCCGCGATGCCCGACCCCTCGATCAACTGGATGGCAAGGAGTACCCACTTGCCAACAAGCCGCTGCCGCCTGAGCTGGCCAGCTTCTCCTACAACATCCCTCACAATACCCAGCAAGGCGTCGACCAGAACGTCTCCCGAATGCTTCCCAAGAAGGTATTTGACAAACTTCTCTAATCCCCAACCCCCGTTTCTCGTCGCGTCCTCGACATGGGTTGCTAAACATTACCTTGTAGCGCACAGGTAAATCCCTGCCAGTGAGACACTCGGCAGGTCTTCTCAAGGACGACGAGTCAACGCAAGAATCCGCTCGCGCCATTCCCAAATCTCCCACAGAGGCCTATTCCCGACGATCACGACAGCTGAGCGCCCGTCAAGAATCCCCCGACCTGAGTTCGACCCCTTCTCTTGGGAAACAATCAAAGGAACTGCTGAAGGACGCTGGCCTGCCTCACCCCGACTCAGTGTCGAACAGGCTCCGCCGTCACCTCGCTCGCAACACCCAGCGCGAGAGGCCAGCCGGCTTCCTTGCCACTCCCGACACGTCTGAGATCGCCGGCAGCAGCACCGAAAATCTCACGCGTCCCAGGTCTCGACATCTCACCCGGAGCAGCCGCACTCCCGAGCCTACCAGCGTACCGAGCGCTCACCAGATGCAAGAGGCTCCAAGCCCTGCCGACAGCCCGGCACACACCGTCTTCAGCAGCAATGTGGCAACCCCGCCCATCACCGACGCCGACGACGAGCCCTTTGGTGACGCCGACGAGTCGCTGCAACAATCGATTCGAGCCCTAAGCGCTCGTCCCTCCTTCGACACGGTGGCTGCCCAGGATGCGAGTCTGCCTAGTCCCAGGCTGTCCCCCACACTGGCTGCTGCACAACTTCACACGGCGGACTCGGAAGACATCGACGACGAAGGCCGACTGATCACCACTGGTGATCGGCCCTGGTATCACGAGTCGCAGACGGCAGATGAGCTTGATGACTACTCCATCGTATCGACCGGTGATGGGTCGCAAACACCATCTGGCATGGCCGATCCTCAACATACCATGTTCGACGTGCGATCCATGATGGAGACTTTCGACTCCATGCCCAACGAGATGAAGAGCTTCATCATGTACCAGTTTTTGCGTCGTTGTCCACGCAAGACCCTCCGATTGGTCGCTGACGCTGTTACCCCTGCTCTCAAATGCGACTTCCTCAAACAGCTTCCCCTCGAGCTCAGCTTCAACGTCCTGTCATATCTTGATCACCAGGATCTCTGCCGTGCGGCCCAAGTTTCCAAGAACTGGCGCAACATTATTGATACCAATGAAACTGGATGGAAGGAGTTGTTTGATCGCGACGGCTTTACTCTGCCCAAGGGCGAGCTCGACAAGGCTATAGTACAGGGCTGGGGCTGGCAGGATCCGGTCGGCGCCATGGGGGCCGAGGTTGACCTTAGCAGAATCAATCTGATGAGCTCACAGGAGACCGAAGTCGCGAAGACTATTGCGAAGCCCGACCCGACTGCAAAGCTCAGAAGCGCAAAGAGGAAGCGGGGTCTTAACATTGGCGGCGCCGACCGGTCCAAGCGGAGGGCGAGCGCGCAAGAAACGGCTCGCGTCGAGGCTGCACATGGTGTAGCCAGGCAGCACAAGTCGGCAGGTCCTCTTTCGGCTGCTAATGCCGCTGCAGCGGCCGTGCCGAACCCCAAGATGGGACTTCCCAGCCTCCAGAAGCTACATCTCTACAAGTCCCTTTACCGCCGCCACCACATGATCCGTCAAAGCTGGACGAGCGGCAAAGTCAAGCCTGGCCATGTCGCTTTCGCTGCTCATCCACGTCATGTCATTACTTGTCTGCAGTTTGACGAAGACAAGATTATCACGGGCAGTGATGACACGCTTATTCATGTCTACGACACGAAGACGGGCAAACTGCGCAAGAAGCTTGAGGGCCACGAAGGCGGCGTCTGGGCGCTTCAGTATGAAGGCAATGTCCTCGTGTCCGGTTCGACGGATCGATCGGTTCGCGTTTGGGATATTGAGAAGGGGTTCTGCACTCAAGTGTTTTATGGCCACACGAGCACAGTCCGCTGTCTCCAGATTCTGATGCCCACCGAGATTGGCAAGTCGCACGACGGATCGTCCATCATGATGCCACCAAAGCCGCTCATCATCACCGGATCCCGCGACAGCCAGCTCCGCGTCTGGCGGCTGCCCGAGCCAGGCTCTCGTCGTTATATTCAGACGGGTCCCCCTGCCAACGACGCAGACTGTCCGTACTTTATCCGCACACTTACCGGCCACACGCATTCGGTTCGCGCCATCTCAGCACACGGTGACACACTCGTCAGTGGTAGCTACGACAGCACAGTCCGTGTCTGGCGAATCAGCACGGGCGAGTCACTTCACGTACTCCACGGCCACTCGCAGAAAGTGTACAGTGTTGTGCTGGACCATGAGCGCAACCGATGCATCTCGGGATCAATGGACTCGCTGGTCAAGATCTGGGACCTCAACACGGGCGCTTGCCTGTACACACTCGAAGGACACAGCTTGCTTGTCGGCCTGTTGGATCTCCGTGACCAGAGGCTCGTATCAGCTGCAGCCGACAGCACCTTGCGCATTTGGGACCCGGAGAATGGCAAATGTCGGAACGTCTTGACGGCTCACACTGGCGCCATTACCTGCTTCCAACATGACGGCCGAAAGGTCATCTCAGGCAGCGAGAAAACCGTCAAGATGTGGGATATCCGGACTGGCGAGCACGTCCAGAACCTCCTTACGGACCTCAGTGGTGTCTGGCAGGTCAAGTTCGACGAGCGACGCTGCGTGGCAGCTGTTCAGAGAGGCAACTTGACGTATATCGAGGTAAGGAGTCTGAAAGTCACGAAACGATTGTCCTGCTAACTGTGAGGTTCTAGATTCTTGACTTTGGGGCTGTTCGAGACGGCCAGCCGCCCGAGGAGCTGGGCGAGCGCAAATTGCTTAACGAGGCTGAGCACAGCACATTGATGGCCGCCGAAGACTTGTAGTATCGCGGGCGGAACATGGACTAGCATTCACACGGAACGGCGAATGGGGCGCGGGATATGACGATTTGATTCTTACTGCATCACACCATACCCATTACGGCACGACAGCATGATCAGAATGACGATCACGGAGATACTGCCGAGGACTTGCTATTGGAATTATTTTGGCGTTTGGAATGGGCGGCTTCAGAACGCCGCGGGGTGTCGGGAGAGAATGGAATGCACATATGTGTCGCTGGTTGCATACTTGTAAGCTTTAATTAGGCCATCGGGGCTCGGACCTGGGCGTCGGCTCTCAGCCTACCTATAAGCCTTGACTCGGTTAGCCGGCTGTCCGAGCAGCACGACGTATACATACAACATGGCATTTTGATTCTATCGAGGACGTTGTCGATGCGTAATCGTAGGCGTGCAGGCACGACTGCTAATACGCGACGGCTGAGAGAGCAGCCATCTGTTGCTACGTGATTATTCGTCACGGCATCTACCTTCTGCAAAGATAGAAGTCAAGGCACTGGGTGACTTGAACATGCCAATCACTGGCCATAACACATGCCCGTGCAGGCGCTTTGGATCGTATTGCTCGCAGCGGGCTTTTTGACGCCGTTCGTACTGAGGCCTCGTCATGAAGGCTAGTGCTAAGATGACTTTACCAGGTCAACGACACCAGGGTGCAGCCCCTATTTAATGCTTGAAGCATTTCTGCCTAGCCAGCTTCTCGGTATAGCTCGATGGCCATCCACTACATATGAGCGTTTAAGTCTGTTCAAAGAGTGGGAGCATCTCCCAGCTGACAACAGGGACAGAGTCCTGTTAAGCCTCCTCTTGGTACACAAAGCTGGGGATCCGGCGTCCTGGCATGAGTGCATTAGCGTTCCTTCCTTGCGCGTATAGGCTAGTAGTGTCTTCATATGAGTCGTGTGCTTTGCTGGTCCCCGACGCGTAAATTTCCGCGTTTCCTCCTATAATCACAGCTATCACCCACTGTTTCGTCGCGGGTCTGCTTCAACTGCCCGAGATGGGGCAAAGTCTTGTTGTATTTAATATCGTATGTATCGTCTGTTCCTTGTCTAGGACGCCTGGCTGCTTTGACCGACGTGTGGCGCCTGATGGTTCGCTCGCTGGGGTCGGGGACAAACGGCGGCCAACGCAGGCAACAACATTCATCCAAAAGAAAGAAAATTATGTACAGGGCTTACATGGCAAGACAAGAGCCTAGGTAGAAAGAAAAAACCAAACAACGCTAGTTCCGCACGTACGACTCGGGCTCCAACTTGTCGACGACGCACAGCTGGCCCACGACGGGATTGCACCGCGCGGCCCGGCCGCCCTCGAGCCTGACGGCATAGTCGACCCCCGAGGGGCTGGACATGCCGTACTGCTGGAAGTCGGTGCTCACGACCTGGGCGCCGCTCGCCAGGGCCGCGTCGCGCATGCCCGTGGTGTCGTTGCTGAAGAGGGTCTCGAGGGGCACGTCGGCGCGCGTGCGGACCCAGTAGTTGAGCTGGACTACGCGCTGGATCGCGGCCGTGTTGGCGGCGCCCGTGGGGTCGTTGAGCTTGCGGAAGGCGCAGTCGGCGTCGCCCTCGGCGGCGTTGGTGAAGAGGACGCGGCCCTCGAGGTTGGGGTGGCCGGCCGTGTAGGTGGTGCGTATGGGAGACACGGGCCCGTTGTCCATGAGGAAGAAGACGCGGCCGCGGGCCGAGTCGAGGTCGGGCCAGCCGCGCTCCAGCACGGCATCCTCGAGCGTCAGGTTGGCGGGGACGCCGCGGCGCAGGTCGTCGGGCACGATGAGGCGGTCGGCGGGGAAGATGGCGCGGATCTCGGCGTCGAGGCCCGCGAGCAGCTTCTCGTCATTCCAGGGGATGGCCTTGGCGCCGCCGAGGAGCACGAGCCCCGGGTCCGACTCGTTGAACTCGATCAAGATGGGCAGGGGAATGTGAGCGCGGTGGGCGTCGCTCCAGCTCTTGACGAGCTCGAGGCAGTGCTTCAGCGTGACACACGTCGTGTGGACGTCGCCGTCGGCTATGTGAAGCACCTTGGTACCGCGCTCGCGCCAGCGGGGGTCTTTGTCGTAGGGAAGGTTGGCCAGCTTGCGGATCAGCGGCTTGGCGTAGTGCCCGCCCTTGGGATCGGCGAACACGTCGAGCTCGAGGCTGCGGATCGACTGATAGTTGAGCTGAATGTCGAGGGCCGCTTGCGAGTATTTCAAGTCCCGCGAGGAGCCCGGAATGAACTGCTCGATAGTCACCAGCTCCTCGGGCGACGGCTGCAGGTGGTAACTGTTGTGGGAGCCCACACACTGGATCTGGTTCATGCGCGTGGCTGACGACCAGGTGAGGCCGCCTTGGCGCATCGCGTTGCAAGCGGCCGCCACCATGGGCACGAGGGCTGCAAGCGTTCGTCAGTATGGTTGGTCTACATCTTCAGCTTAAAAGGGCTCTAGGAGACTCACCGAGGGCGATGAGACGCATGTTGGCTGTGGCCCAGAGCGAGAGAGCTGTGTCGGTGGAAGAAACAAAAATCAACAACAGAGAAATGATGTCCGTCCTTTATGTGTACATTCAAGCGACGTTCAACCAACGGTATCTCATTTCCGGAGCACGATATATAGTTTAATGACTTGGTGCGAATGTAACAGCATTGAACTCAACCCATTCATATCTGCCTCTCTTCGGGGTTCGAGATTAAGACATCGGCCAATGGCGGTCGGACGGGTGTCCATGTGTTCTGGAGCGCGTCGACTGCCGATCGAATCAAGCACATGACTGAAGGCAAAAATGTCGAAACCCTCCGAGATAGTTGCAACCCCTTGCCTATGGGTCCTTGGAAGAAGTTTCCAAAGCTATCATTGGTTGCTGAGAAAATGAGTGAATCAAAGCCTATGCCTTTACCCCCCCCCCCCCCCCCCCGCCCTTTCTTTTCAACAGTTTTATTCCTGTAAGGATAAGATGCCTTATGGAGCCGAAACACTAGTGAATGAGAACGCTCTGTTCAGAAATCCACCTGACCTATAGCACTAGTAAAGCCTATGTTGGCTGGTTGATGTAGTAGGTCTGGGGAGTAATCTATGTTAGGACCCGGCAGCTTCTGAAAGGGGAACACTGTTAGAGGGGGTTGTGGTTGCTATGAGTAGAAACTTACGTCGTGACTCTGAGACGATGTAATGTCGCAAGGCGCTGCGCCCTCCCGTCACAATGAACACAACGTAAGCCTTGGACTGATTACTATCGTGGGTAGGGTGAATCTACAGATATAGTGTACCCGTCCTCACATACCCGTTTATCCTTCCCTGTCGCGTAAGGTAGTGAGCCCATGTTGGATGGCTCACTGCTGGTGGTGATCATGGTATACGGGAGTTCGGATCACGGTGATCTCTGTTGCTGGATCACTGTCCCTGGTGATCCTTTCACGTGAGTCGACGCTTGGCGTCTCCAAGGTATCTTTATCGTGCCCCTCGTTGGTGTCATTCTCAGGGTCGCCCTTGGGGTTGGTCTTGTTCCTTGCTTGTTGCACCTAGGGGGCCGTACCTTAGGCCTTTAGACTCTATATCTACTCGGGCCAAGGCCGTTCTGTCGGCTTATGGGATATGGGACAGAATTGTTGAGTAGTTAGGAAGGAAGTCGCAGCAAACTAAGTCCCCAGTCGACACGGGGCCTTGCACTTCAAATGTACTGCATTTGATGCTAGTTCCCGTTTGCGACCAGAGCCAGGACCAGGTTGGACAATGATCGCAGACTCGCCGATCGCGCCTCATGCCCTCGATGGCTGACGAGACAGATGATTATAAGGTCGGGTCGCTATGCAGGCGTCACATGGCCCTCCTGACGTTGGTTGACTTGAGACCACTGGACTAAATCCGCAAAAGCCATGCGAAAGACGGAGTGACAGAAACTCAATTTCAATTTTGCAAAAAGAAGATGCAAAGCGCCATGCCTCCAGGTAGCTGTGCTGTGCACCAGATCGATAACGCCGACGCCTTTTGCCCTCATGTCAACGACTCGAGACCAACCCTAACCCTGAGTGACAATCATCAACCGTCTCGAGCCTTGAATATCCTTAGCTCCTCAGCCTTGCTTCTATCCGATGCGGCCCGTGTTAGACAATAGACTGCCAGAAAGCCACATTCACATCCTTGGGCCTGATGCCCGGTGCTCGCCCGAGACACACAGATCGTTGCACGAGTTCTAGACAAGCGTTAGCCATTCCATCCGCGTCTGTAAGAGAAGCAAACGTACGTTCCACCAGTATTTCAACGTTTATGCTGACTCGTCTCTTGCGCGGCGTTGCCGTCTTGGTCGAAACCCGCTGCGACAGATCATACAGCATTGGATCCACGGGTACCGTCCCATCCATGAGGTGGTGCGTCGGCAACGGCGCCGCGAGCAGGGCTGCGATTTCCTCTTCCCCCGTGACGGTAGGGCCTGACCAGGTATCCGAGCTGGTGGCCGGTGTAGGGGCCAGGCTCGACCCAACAGTACCAGCGTCGCCAGAGAGCCAGACCGTCGACTTGTCGACAGCAGTCGAGTCCGGAGGGGCCTGAGTCGGGGCGCCGAGCGTCGAATCATCAATGTCAGCCGACACAAAGTCGGCAGCTGGGGGAATGACGATGCCTCGTTGTTGCAGGTACCACTCGACTTCGTCGCAGTCGAAAAAGTCGCCCTCGAAGCCGGGCGACGAGATGCGAAGTCGGTGGTCAACACGCAGGTCTCTCGTCTCTTCGACGGCCGGGCTCCACGGTCCGGGGCCGAAGTTCGAGTCCCTCGCGATTTTACTGCGATTCGGTTCCTCAGTTCCCTCGTTTCCCACCAGGGGTCGCGGCCGTGTCGGGCCCGGCCTGCCGTGTTCCAGGCCTGCACCCTTTTCTTTCATGTCTGTCTCGAGCGAAACACTGTCCAATTCGTTCAGATCTTGGAAAAAGGTGCCCGCGCCGCCGAGATGTAGAAAGGGATGACGCCAATTGCTGAGGGTTTCGCGTTGGTTCACACTGAGGCAGTTAGCAAGGCGCTCAATGATGCGTTCCCGGCTCTCGAAGAGCAGGCAGAAGCCGAAGACGCCGGCGACTGCCTCCGGCGGCGGGTTGGGCATGGAAAACAGGCGCACCGCCTGCTCTACCGCCCTGCGCTGCAGCCGCCGACCAAAGGTGCGTTCTTGATAGGAGAGCGACGGCGGCGACGACAGCGCGGGCACGCCGCCGGGGGCCAGCGTCAGATGGCCGGATAAGCCCGGATTTGGCGTTGGGAAGAGAAGGGTGGTGGAGGCGGCGAGGGTCTCGGCCGGCGGCGAGGAAGACGTACCGAAAGGGAAGCTTGCATTATGCACGGTAGGTTGTGTGACGATTTCGTATGCGGGCGCCGATGATGATGATGCTGCCTTGAGGGTGTTGTGCCTCCAGACGGACACGTCCGATTCCGCCGGCTCGTCGAATGACGCCTCTGGCTCGTGATGCACAATGAGGCCGGCCATGAGGATGGGCTGGCCAGCGTTTGTGTGCTCATGGGCGGCGGACACGTCGGGCGAGCCGGAGACGTTCCGTCGCTTCTCGGAACCGCTGCCGGGGCTGCCCGTGTTTCCCTCCTCAGAATCGTGACCAGGCCCCGCCGGCGGCTGCTTGTCCTCGCTCGAGCTGCGCGCGATGGCAAGAAAGGTTTCCGTCGTGGCCTGCAGCTGGCGCCCGAATTCGGGCAGGGACTCGAGGAGCCCGTCTGCCACGGCGTAGTCGTAGAGACGCATGAATGCATTGCTCATCTGCTCGTTGTTCTGTTTCAGTTCCTCGACCTGTTTCTCGAGCGTCTGAATAGCCGTCTCTTTTCGGTTTCGATAGGCCCTCTGGGCGAGTCGAATCTGGGTGCGGCGGCGCTGGGCGCCTGTCAGTAAGCTGAGTCGAGAGGGACGAGGGGGGAGGGCGGCAGCGTCGGTGAGGCCGCAAAAGTGGCGTCACTGTGGCGGCCAAGGGATGGATTGACGTTCATACTCACATCTTGGGCGGTCTGGTCATCCGTGTCGAGCTTGGGTCTGCCTCTCTTCTTCTTGTCCGGCATATCGCCGTCGTCGAGAGCATCAACCGCTTGCGTCATGGACCTCTTGGTGCCGTGGCGCGACGCACGATGAGATCGCGTGCGGCCTTCGTCGGCGCCGGGTGTGGAAGGCGTTGGTGTCGGTCGAGGGGGCAGGCTGCGAGGGGCTCGGAAGGAGGATGCACTGCCGTCATGATACGACTCGGCATTCAATATGGAGAGCTCGGGATGCATGGAAAGCACCGTCTGCCCGTCGGGCAATTGGATGAAGGGCCAATTCAGCGGGCGCTGCTGTTGGTGCGGGTGGTGATACGGGCGGTGGTGATAGAAGGTCGGGTCGTCGGTGGTGTGTGGATCGTGGTTGGGATCGTAAAAGTCGGACGGCGCTGTGTAATTCGGAAGCTGCGGCACAGCGCTGGGCTCGTCGCTCGTCGGGAACCAGGCGATGGTGGTCTGCAGTTCGGAGGCGTGAAGCAGTCGCGGATCATGAGGGTGGCAGAGGGTCGAGCCAGACGAGGAGGGCGGCGACGAGACAAGACCAGGAGCGGCGGCGGCGGCAACGGCAGCGGCAGCGGTGGAGTCGACGAGAGGCGGGTGAGCGACAAAGTAGACGGGCTGCTGAGGGTGCGGACCAGGCTGCTGGCTGTGATGCAGGGGCGGCTGCGGAAGAGGCGGCTGGTGGTGAGGGTGATGGTGATGAGGGTGGTGGGCGTGGTGGTGCTGCGGCGGAGGTGGCCCGATTGACTGATGGTACTCAGGGAGAAAGGCCTCGGGGGTGAGCGTTTGGGCGTGGGCCTCGAGATGGCGGCGGCCGTGCTGGTGCTCGTGCTGGTGCTGGTGCTGGTCGGATTGCTGTTGTTGCTCGTACTCGAGAAGACGATGCGAATCATGTGAGCGCAATTGTTGGGGTTGTTGGGGCCCTTGCGGGTCTTCGAGTCGTTCCTGGCCTTTTGGGTCCAGCGCCGGCGACGCTAGCGACCCAGCGGGCTGAAGGTGCTGTTGCTGGTGGTGCTGGTGGTGCTCCTGGTGCTGGTGCTGCTGCTGCTGGATCAGGCGCTGGTGCTGTAGCTGCTGTCGCTGGTGCTGTCGGCTCAACTGCCGCTGCCGAGGTCTTTGCGGTGCGACGGCTGCTGACAACTCCTGGCCTGATGAGGCTGGGGCCTGTAGGGCCTGGGCCTGCTGGGGCTCTAGCTCGAGGCCTAGATCCCCATAATGGCCGTGAGTGTGGGCCCCCGCGTGGCCCCTCTGGCGTCGGTCATCTCCTGAATCCGCACCACCAAGCTGCTGCTGCTGCTGCTGCTGCTGCTGATGTTCGAGGTGCAGCTGTGGCGGCAGCGGCGGCGGCGGCTGCTGAGAGTAAAAGCTCCCAGAACGTGGGAGCACGGCACGGGTTGTATAAGGAGGTACTGGACCCGACCACGTCGTTGTGAGGGCGGCGGGGTAGAGACCGACGGCGACGGAGCGGCTGTCCACTCTGTTCTCGTCAACGTCGTCGCCGTCTTCCTCGTCATCTGTCTTTGGATGACCAGGACCCAGGCGACAACCTGAGCCTGAGCCTGGGCCTGGGCCTGGGTCCAAGTCAGGGTCTGGGTCTGGGGGCGGGCGCCCGCGTCGGGACTGCCGATTACTCATCGGACGAATTGGTGCCCGAAGGCGACAGAAAGGCGGCACGGCGCCTCGGTGATCTGTGCTGTGCAGTACTGACCGACTGACTGCCTCAACTCCCGTGGAGCACGGTAAAAGGTCAGGCACAGCACAACAGGGCAATGTAGGCGCCCGTGGCTCCTTGTAGTAAGGTCGCTCAGGTCCGATCTGGGGACGTCAGTCTGCTAGCGCGTCTCATCGAGTCAAGACGAAGGGGACCCTTTGGGAGGGGAGCGGGGGTGGAAGGCAGTGTAATAAATGGCAACTGAGTATGAATTTGACGAGAATGACTGATATCAGGATGTCTGTTTCCCCCGAGTGTGATGATGGCTCACCCAGCATCTGAATTCCACCACGACTCTTCCACAAACAAGTGAAACAGGACCCGGACTGGAAGGGGCGGGGAGGGCAACAACGTGAGATGGCAAGTGGGAAAACAATTTCCCCCCCTGTGAAGCAGAGTTGGTGAATAGACGGGCGAGGGGTGGAGGGCAAATAGTGATAAGGGGGGGAAAAGGCAGGTGGATTCCAGGAGAATAATTGATGAGAAAGGAAAGAGAGCTCACCTCGTCAGGGAAAGAAAGAAAGCCCTACACAACCGCAGGAACAACGAGAAGGTGTCAAATATCCTACCATACCCGCGTGCAGCAGGGCGAAGCAAGAAGAAGGCCGACCTTTTGAACCCACACAACCAACACCGAACGCTTGGGTCCATGCGGAGGTGACACGCACCTTGCCCATATGTAGTCCCCCAATCATCATCTACGAGAGAGAGCAGGGTAGGGAAGGGGGAGGCCGGCCTCGACGGGCCAAGGAGGCAAACCCCATGAGGAGATCGCACCGTCATTTGGTGTACTGCCCGTCAGAGCTTGGGCCGTGGGTCACGGCGGGGTTGAGGAACCCCCGGTTCGGGATTGAAAATATGATGAAAGGTTGAGGGCAGAAACAAGGCGAGATTGGCTTGATCCAATCTCTTCCAGAATGGCCTCTGTCGGCCAAGCTTGCTTGCCTGTGCGACGTAGGCGGAGGCCGGCGGAAATGGAGATCCCCTACTCGGTAAGTAATTCAGGGGTTTTGTGGCAGCAAAAGATGGTGGTGGAACGGGATCCTGGGACTGGAACATGAATCCGAAGAATCTCGGCCTCATGGCTTTGAACCAGCTAGCCGGCCAGCTGGGACGGACGGACATGGGGGGGTGGGTAGGATGAGGATGTGTCTGGCCAGCTGCCAATAAGATGCGCCTCAACTGTCTCTGATATCCGCGGATGAGGACCCAGTTGGTCGTCCAGCCACGCCCCCCCCCCCCCCCCCCCCAAAAAGGACGGGTTGTCTGGATAACGCCTCGTGCGGAGGGGACCGCAACAAGACACCTCAGGGTTCTGTCATCAGAAACAGGGTCTCGCTCCCTTCTCTCGCCGTCCGCGTAGAGGGTAAGGTGAGATGAAGGTAGGGCCAGCGTGACAGAACTTACAGAATGCAGGTCCAACCCCCTCTTCAGGGTCTTCATGCTCTCGTGTCGTGTCGTGGAACTGTTCTGTCGCGTGGGAATCCGTCCGGTCGGTCGAGGCGTCGAAGCACCGCGGCGAATTTCTCGCCTCACTTTGCATGTCTTCGACGTGACGGCTCACGAGCACCGCGGGCAGCTACCGTCTGCTTCGCTTCGGGTGGTTGCGGCGGTGTCCAGCGAAGCCATTGCTCTGCGTAGAGTAAAGATCACCGCTTTCAGTCGAACCATTCCTCAAGGTAAAACCTCCGCGACACGAGGAGTGGTGATCAGGAACACAGGGAAAGGAAAAAAAAAAAAACGTGCTTCTCGCTCGAAGAGCGAATGTGCCCAGGATGCCCAGGCCGAGTAGAGAGCGACAGAGGTCCAGGAAACGTGCCAGTACAGTGGCGTCCGCATATGGATTGATTGGTCGACGTATGCCTGCCTCACAGCCTCAGATTTCGAGCAGCCCAGGGTGTCACTCAGATCGATCACTTGCTTGGGCCGCTTAGTAGGCCCACCCATCCATCTGGGTTGCCATCATGACCCCCAAGTCCCACGTTCCCGGTCGTGAGGACCCTTGGCGTTTTGGTCGACTCGGAGCCGTAAGCATGGTCATCGTAGCGGCCGGCTCGTGTTCCCCGGGACAAGTGTGGTATGGTAGAGCGGGCTAACGAAGGAGGGAAAAAAAGGGACTTTGTGCTTGTGGGTCTTCCACTGTGACCCCTCATCCAACGATGCCCGTCATCATGATCACTTCTCACTTTGGGAAGCCGCGTTGACAGGGTCATTACGACTCGTAGCCACCAGGAGAGGGAGCCTACCTGGAGAGGGCAGTGAGAATGTGAGAGAAGCAAAACACGAGGACCGAAAGAGTGGAGATGACATGGTCCTCGATGTCGCGTTCTGGGCGTCTCCGATCTGCTCGTCGTCCGACGTCAGGGAGATCATGGATTCTGTTTGGCTGAGGGACAGGGGCCAGACTCAGCCCTGCCCTGCCTGACCTGGAACTCGTGGGAATGGGAATGGCGCCAACTGACGACCAACCCCCCTTGGGCCCTTGGGGCGGGTCGTGTCCACCTCGCCCCGTGGCGGAAGGGATCTGATAACACGAACACGTCGGTGGTTGCTTGCATGATGTGGGCGGCCCTGGTGTCGTTCCGAGCGAGCAAGTGGCATTCGGGTGCGCTCCTCGCAGGGCTTCGTCAGACTTGTCCGTTGGGCGAATAGAGGATTGATGGTAGGCGAGGCCAGTGAGGACGGACATGGGAGAGTTGCCGAGTTGCACGATGACCTCAGAGACAGCTGGCAGGTGTAGGCGTGCAAGGCGTGGCGGGTGGAAAGGTGCCCCCCAGGAAACGGTGCACCGTCCAAGGGTCCCACTGCGAAATGCGGAGTTTTAGCGACCTCTTAGCGGCCGTTCCATGTACCCACAGCGCTAAGAGAAAAACGGCGCCACCCACAGGGTGCCTTAGTCCGCCTGTTCGTCCGTCCGTCCGCCTGTTGGTTCCCGTCCCGTTAGCGGCTGCGTCATCGTTGTGGCTCGCGAGCTTCCTCCGTGTGGTTGGTGGTGACGCCCCTGGCTGAACCACTCGTCCGTTGACCCTGGGGAGCTCCCTCAATCGCGCTGTTTCGTCTTGAAAGCAATGTATGGAGGAGATGCAGCGAGTTGGGACGAGCATCGTGCTGCGAGTCGCACGACATTTGGCATCTGACATGCCAACGTTCCATGCCGTCTGCACAGGCCGCTTTCCGAGGGTGAGGCTGCCAGTGACGATCCCTCCTGTCCCAATCCCCTCCTCGGCCATTCCCCCTTCACATTTCTACCTCATAACCGCCCTCTCTCTGACGGCTGGGCCTTCCTGCGACAAGCATCCGAAGGATGACTGCATCCCTCGCAAACAGGTCCCGTCACAGCATGCGCCTCCCGCAACATGTCGCGAGCCCCAGCGTTCGCCACATCGGCTACAGGGCCGCATCCTGCCTGCAGCTCGCCCGCCCACGCGCCGCCCGAGAATTGGGGTCCTGGGACGACAGCACGAGGCTGACAAGCGCCGGCTGTGACGAGCAGCATACGACACGGCGCTATGGTGGCGGCAATGAAGCTATCGTCAGTGATCGACGAGGTGTGGCCAAATATGGACTGGTCTCGGCCATCTTCACATGATGTCCATCACAGGGGGGGTGGCTTCCGACAGAATTCGGGGACAAAAAAAATAAAAAGATCTGCTTCGGTGCATTGTGCATGTAAAAATAAAAAAACAGGGAGTCGATCATCTCAAGACTCGAACCATCATCGAGTAGTGGTACCCTCTCCAAAAAAAGATCGTCATCACAGGGTGAGGTTATTCCCATGGACTGGCGTCTCGTTTTCAGCTCACATACTCCCAGCCTGGCCAGCCTGGGCAGTCTATTTAGCTAGTTAGGTAGGATGACCGTCATCACGCAACGCCACCGGGGTATCATCTCCTCACACGAGGCCATCCTCGCTAAATGCTTCCTTCACCGCATAGCCTACCGAGCTACCACTGCACAACCAGTGGCTTCGTCCTTTCTTTTCCAGACGCAGCGTTCTTCTGTCCGCTGGGGCGTACCGACGTCCGCTTCGGTGTCGTAGTCGCGGCAGCTGGCAGCTCCCTCACCCACCGCCCATCGGGTCCCTCCACCAACCCGGCCTCGAGTCTCGCCATCCTCCTCTCCTCGTCTACGATCTTCACATACGCCTCCGTCTTCGCGACCCAGTCGAGTCGTTCGTTCTGCAGGCTGCGTCCCAGCGCTTGCCACCCCGTCCGCACCGCTGCCGCAAACGTCTCGCCGTCCCCCTCTCGCTCCCGCCCTCGTCCCTCCTCGCGCTGCAGACCCTCGACGAGCCTCTCCCAATTGTCTTCGTCCTTGGCCGCCGGCGTACTCACCTCGCGCAATTCGATCGCTTGCGTCACGCGTGCCTGCCGTCGCTGGCCCTGGCGTCGGAGCGCACACTCGAGCCGCACGGGCTGCGGTTTCTTGGTGCGGAGAAAGGGCACGCCCTGCGAAGTCACAAAGACGACCGGTATGCGCCGGCGGCCTCGCAGCTGAGAAGAGGGGGCCGGCCGGAGGGCGGATGTGTAGGAGACGGAGCCGTCGGGGTCGCGGTGCCGCATGAGGAGCGGCGGCGGCTTGGGACGGAACTGGGGCTTGTCGAGCTGTGGCGGTTTCGGTTTGTAGTTTGCGCGAGACGTGGCCGACTCGAGTCGCTTTCGTTTGACATGGGCGAGGACTTCGGCATGGGCTGTGGAAGATGTCGTTTGGGCTTGTCGAAAGAGGGACAGGAACTGGAGTTGATTTGCACTTTAGCGAAAAGAACCGTCTTCCGGACAGGTAGGAGTCCACCTTGTAACCGGCAGTCAGTGCTGCAAACACAACCCGCGGCCCCGTATCGCCCTTGTTTCTCCTGAACTGTTTTCTGATCATGTGCTGGATGGGATGGGCGCTCTGATCGGCCAGGATGTCGGTTGGAAGAGGG